GACCTCTGAAGGATACTAAGTCCTGTAAGTTTCATCTTCCTGTGAAAGTTCCTCTGGCACTGAGGGCGTTGCAAAGTTGCAACATCTGAGGACCTCGCAGAGGCTCATTTATGACGTCATAGGTCAGTGACCTGACCTGACCTGAAAACGCAGTTTAGGTCAAAAGATCCAACTTGAATAAAAGATTAGGTATGCCAAGTTTCAGCTGTCTACCCTAAGCGTATCGCGAAAAGCCCTATTAGGCGGCACCCGCCCCACCCCTTCTCGGCCGGCGAGGGTTAATGTACTAGTTCATGTACATGTATGCGCAGATATAGTATCATCTCAGCTAAAATATATCTCTAATTCATGTTCGACACATTCTAGAGTTGTTACAAAAATTAACTCATTATATTTCCAATTTATTTGACTATTAACCCTATTCCTGGCGGGGGGGGGGGCCTCAGGAGCCCCCCCTGAGGTTTTTTGGTTATTTCTCCCAAATGCGTTGAGCTAGGAAGCTCAAATTTTCTGACTTTTCCTAAAAGGCGTCTACGCAACATGTCTGAAAATTTGGAGTTGATCTGACCTCAGGTCAGGTCACCAGAGGCGGTTTGGTGACCCTACCTCAGAAAAGTTTGCAATCACGCCAGAGCTAGAGTTTTTGACCGATCAATTTCTTCTCTTCAGGCTTTAGTTAGGGTACCAGTATGTGCAATTTGTATATCTCGGAATTTTGATATCGGTGACCTAAGGTCAGGTCAGTTTCGCGACCTCCCCATTATAAGTCAATGGGGGAAAAATCAACTCCCTGTTTTTACCACTAAAACGGGTCGGAATGGCCCCATATACCATACATGACTTCATATACGATCAACCTTCACTACCTTGAGGTCTGTTTTGCTGTTGGGCAGCTGTGAGGTCATGTGACGTCATCAAAGGTCACCAAAGGGTTTTGGCCAATAACTCCGTACAGGAACAAGATACAGACGCATGGATGGTCTCATTGTGTTCAGCTCGTCAAGACGCATCGAATGATATACATGATGACCTCGAGGTCACGTGACCTGAGGTCAACCTTTGACCTTGACCTTGCGAGGTCAACATATATATCATTCGATGCGGATTGACGAGAGGATCACGATGATGCCCTTAGTTTGTTCCTATCTTGACTAATTCGAAAGCTATTAGAGAAAAACTCTCTCCATATCTAGCGCCGCCATTTTGACTTTTTCGACCCCTGTGACGTCATCTTTGACCTGACCTGAAAATGACCTTAGTAAAAATTGTAGATCTTGACCGTGCGTATCCGATGCCGTTTACCGTTTGTCGCTATCTTGCTTCGTTCTGGAGATCTCAGGGGGGCCGAATCGGCCCCCCCCCCGCCAGTTTCTTGTCCCGGCGGAGCCCGCCAGGAATAGGGTTAAAGGGACCCTCCCACCTTAACATTAGATTTGAGTTGAGATAGCCAAAATGGGGTCCCTGGCTAACAATTACCAGTTTCGGCACTCACAACATCGAGAAATGCCTTAAATCGGAAATATTGAATTTCAAAATTGCAGCATTTTGATTCAGAGGGGCTAATGCTTAGGAATACCCCTCTGAATGTGTGACGTCAGCGCAAATATCTAACGATTTTTAAATGTTTGACTAAAACGTTTTGTAGCACGCGGTGGTATATGCTATTTGCGCGCAACATCTGCCGCAAACGCCGCACTTCTAAAATAAAGTCGCTAGAAACAGCGGAGATCCCAAAAAGTAAACAAAAGTAAAAGTCTAATATCTTGAAAACCGGTGAATATTTTTCGGTGAAATTTGGTAGATATTCGTTTTCGCTCTTTCTGAACCGAGCGACATCTTTTTCATGCCAATTCATAAACTTTTGTGAAGGTGGGAGGGTCCCTTTAAGCCTGACGAATATTTGTTTTTCAAAAAATAGGTGCTATCTCCAAAATGGAAATTTTTAAGATTTCGATGACCACACTATCGGATTCCTCGCAAAATTTTGGTCCAGAAAACACTAAAATTGGAAATTGGTATTTTCAAAAGTTATTTACCGTCTGTTGGGGCAATGTGCTTTAGGTACTGTTTCACTCTGTATGTGAAGCGGTCTTTAGGCAAAAAATCTGGCAGGTGACAATTTTTCTGTTGGTAAAACAGAAAAAAGATCTGGTCAAAGATCAGGTCGCCAGAAGTCATCAAAGGTCAAATTTGTCTATTTCACAATGTTCAAAACAACAGACGCATAACTCGGGAACCAATAGAGCTACAGTGCTGCGGAAAAGTGCAATCTATAGCTGTTTTACAGGCCTTTCTGAATTTTGTCTTCAGATATGACCTCAAGTCAACGGTTTAACCTCTAGAGGGCAAACGCTTAAAAAATAGCCGTTTTTACGAAAAATGTTTTTCGGTATTCAATTTTGACTCACTGGCGGATCCTGGGGGGGGTCCACGGGGTCATGACCCCCCCCAAAAGGTCTGAGAGGGTCATTTGACCCCCCCCAAAAGCCGAAGACCTAAATGCGCTATAGACGCCGTCTTGCATGCTCAAAATCACCTGTCAAACACTTCTGAGCTAATACTTTTGTTTTTCTGGATCGTGTTGCGTGAAAAGGCGTATTGAAGACCAGAATCTTACTCGTTTTTGTCTCAACCGTGCGAGCACCAGGGGATGATCCAGGAAAACTCCAAGGGGATGGTCATGAATTTAATTCGTGGTGCCCCTACCTATACGCAAAATTAAAAACTCAACGGATTTCGGTCACTTAATTTTGGTGATGTCCTATTTTCATTTTTTATTTTGTTTGTTTTATTTTTAGTGCCCCTGGGCCCTGGCAGGTCAAAATCACGTCTGAGGCGAAAGAAATTCACGGGAATCCCAAAAATCACGTCAGGACATTCAGGGCCCTCTGACCAGCCTGACAGCTAGGGCCCTTCTTACTTCCTGGGGCCTCCAGTGAATAACCGCTAGTGTCTGTGTCTGACCGCTAGGGCCCCTCTGACTCCTCAGTAGGTAGGAGGCCCTCTGTAGAGGAGGTCCTCTGTAGAAAGGAGGCCCTCAGTAGAGAGGAGGCCCCCTGTAGAGAGGAGACCCCTTTAAAGAGGAGGCCCTCTGTAGAGAGGAGACCTGCTGTAGAGAGAAGGCTCTATGTAGAGAGGAGGCCCTGTGTAGAGAGGAGGCCCTCTGTGGAAAGGAGACCGCCTGAATGCAGAAGGCCCTCTGAAGAGTGGAGACCCGCTGTAGAGAAGAGGCCCTCTGAAGAAAGGAGGCCCTCTGTAGAGAAGAGGCCCTCTGAAGAGAGGAGGCCCTTTGCAGAGATGAGGTCCTCTGGCTCTTTGAAGAGAGGAGGCCCTCTGTAAAGGAGGCCCTCTTAAAGGGAGAGACCCTCAGTAGAGAGGAAGCCCTCTGTAGAGAGGAGGCCCTGTAGCTTCTGTAGTTAAGAGGCCCTGTGAAAAGAGGAGGCCCGCAGTAGAGATCGGTGGTCCTCTGTAGAGAGGAGGCCCCCTCTGTGTTTTGACAAATGTTTTTGCAAATTTTTCGCGGCGCTTCGCGCCGCCGATTTATGTACATACGTACAGGTCAATACGAAATCTTGACTGTAATTACATAAACCAACCGTGTCAAATTGAATCAGAATTCATATGTGTGCTGTAAAGGAACTCCGGCTTGTACTGCAATGCTAAAAGGGTGGTAAAATTTGTGTTTTGGAGCTGTGTTTCGACACATTCTTTTGCAAATTTTCTCGGCGCTTCGCGCCGCCGATTTATACACCAATCAATAAGAGAGAAATAACAGTGACTGTAATAACACCAACCGTGTCAAATTGAATCGGAATTCATATGTGTACTGTGAAGGAACTCCGGCTTGTACTAGCATGCTAAAAAGGTTGTAATATTTGTGTTTTAGAGCTGTGTTTTGACAACTTTTTTTTGCAAATTTTTGCGGCGCTTCGCGCCGCCGATTCATACACAGGTCAATAAGAGAGATCGTGACTGTATGCTACTATTTACTAATGCATTAGGCTAAAAGTGAGGTAACTATATCTACTTCTGGGTTTTTAAGTCGGTCGACCCACCTCCCCCCCCCCCAGTAAAAAATCCGTGGCGACGCTCCTATATAGGTGGGTTTCACTAACTAAAACTACTGAGCCGAGTGACTTACGATAAAACTTCATCTTATAAACGACGAAGATCAAATGTCATTTTTTGATCTCGACATACTCGCTCCCTACCCCCCCCCCCCCCCGGTCGTCAGAATTCATTCACCAGACCTGGTATGTCGGCCGACTGGTGACCCCCCCCAAAACGACCCCCTAGATCCGCCCTTGTTTTGACTCAAAAGAGCCTTGACATTTATTTTTCCAGCATCCTAGTCCTCTCGTCGAGACGCGTCGAATGAACTATAAGTTGACCTTGAAAGGCCATTTTGAAAATCTGACCTCAGGTCAAGGTCATGACCTGACCGGAAAAGGTCATGCCGCATATCAGTCGATCGGTATCGTCGAGCTGAACACATCTGACGTGTTTTCACCGCCCTAGCACGTCTCTACAAAACGTTATAGTCAAAATACTGCTAGTGATGACCTGGCCTAAATGCATGATGACATCATCTGTGATCAAAACTAACATGATATTCGTCATCGGCACCCGATGACGCCGTATACGGGCGATGGTTAAATAAACTTCAGACTTCATCACTGATTAGACCTCGTTCCGTTAATGTAGGTACTCATAAAAACAACAACAAAGTATTGGTAAATGAGTTTAAAGAACGACATTGTCATTCGCAGGTTAACAGTTTTCTTGCTCAGTCCTCTTTCTCACGGAGTTAGGTTAGGTTAGGTTAGGTTAGGTTATAGGTTAGCTTAGGTTGGGACGGAACATGTATCAGTTACCGGAGGGCTCATTCTCTTCCTTATCAGGCTAAAACATTCGCGAGATCTAGGTTAGTGCTGCAGGTTCGTGCTAATGCAACGTGCGCTAGACGCCTACGCGTTCCACCAACACCCAGTCCCCCTCACCAGTGATGTCCAGCCTCCTCATCGACTTGGGCAGCAGTCGCAGCCACTTGCCGGAGCTGTCCACGGGCGGGCTCACATCGAGACGCTCCAGGGCCTTCAGCGGCTCCAGCAGCGCCTCCAGCTGCCAGTCGTTGATACCGGCCGGCAGCGTCAGCTCACGAAGACTGGAGGCGTTGGCACGCGCCAGCCGGCGCAGGGCAGAGGCTTTCAGCTTGAAGCCGCGGAGGTTAGCCTTTTCCAGGGCGTGGCAGGTGGCCGCTGGAATAACGCAACACCTTCCGTGAAGTGGTAGGTACCTACCTATTCACATGGTTATAGACACTGGACAAAGTATGGCAGCTACAGCGAGACAAAGTGTACCAGTTCGTGTATAGCGCGTTTCACACAGGACTCACCGACCAGTCGGAGGTCGGTGTCCGTCTCAGCGGTCGGCGCCTGCAGTTCGGTCATCTTCGGCTGGTTCTGCACCTTCAATACGAGCTCTAGGCTCGTGGCCGGTGCCGGGACCTCTCCACCACGGGTTTTCTGATCGGTTAGCTCCCGCCGACAGTCGCTGACGATATCGTCGACGGCGGACCGCCACCGACGGCAGACTGTCGGCACCGACGGAACAAACACAGTTGGGACGTCAGCAGCGAGCTTCAGAATCAAAGTTGTCATACAGGCAGCCCTTGCAGCTCTAACAAGAAAGTTAACCTTCCAGGCGGTGGGGGGGGGGCATTTTTTGCCCCCAATTTTAGTTTTTTTTTTTCGGTATATCTGCAGAACCGCTGCGCCGATCGTCACCAAACTTTCAGTACAGCTAATGCACATTCTGACCAATTTTCTTTCCAAAAGCTATGATATTTTTTGCCATTTTCGACCCCAAAACCGGTTTCACGGGAAGAGCTGTCAGGCCTACAGCTTTGATGATACAGAAAAATGTTTAAGACATAAAAGGTGCAGAATTACCAGCGCTACGATACTGCTTTCACGAAATTTTGAAAATTTTGGAATTTGACCCCGAAAAAATTGGATATAATAGCGAAAGAAAACAAAAGTTTTTCGATTTTCGAAAAAAAACGGAAAACATGTAATAGCCCCTAGTTACTTCTATTCACATACCCAATTTTAGATCGATACCCCTTTTTTTGGCCAAGTTATAGCGAAAAAACTTCAAAATTGATGACGTCAAATTTTGATACTCAATTTTTAGCAATTCCAGACCATGCAGCGCAAAACAAAGATCACCATTAGACTCGCCGTCACGAGCTGCATCGAATCAATACCCATTTTATGCAAAACTTTGAAATTTGACCTTTTTTGACCTGACATTGACCTGACCTCCACCAGAAAGTGACCTAAACCGTACCTGATTGTTTTACAACCAACACCATTGAGTTAGAAATGAAAAAAATGGCCATAAAACATGCATCGCACAACCCTATTGTTGGGCTCATGTGCTGACCCTTGGTGACCTGACCTGTGACCTGACCTGACCTGTGACCTGACCTGGTATCATCAGTGACCTCCAATAGCAACATATGTACTAGGCAACTTACGCCTTATCCCGCGCCCCGCTGGGGGGGCAGAATCTGCCCCCCTCCCGTTTTTCGCCAATAACTTTTAAACGCGTTACGCCAGCGACGTCAAACTTTCAGTACCTTGTCATACATCAATTTGACACATTCCCTGAATATTTGAGCGAAATCCGTCGGAAAATTTTTGAGAAAATGACGTTTTAGTGACGTCATGTTCGCAATTTTCGCCTCAAAAATCGCAAAATTTCAAACGCCGCTAACATCCTCATTTTTAAAGGAATGAAGACGTAACAAAAAGGTTATACGTGATTTTACTTTGTCTATCAAATGGCTATCTCGGTTTTTTGAAAATTTTGGATTTTGGCCCAAATATTTTCAAAAAACTAACTTTTTTGGGAAAATAATTATAAAATCCAAAATTTTGAGTGTATCGAAAAAACCGGAATATATGTCAGAGAAGTGGTCTATGTGCACCTACATACCAATTTTGAGAAGAATCGGTTCAAAAATGTGGGAGTTATTCAAAATTTTATGACGTCACGACACACAAAATTTTTGAAAAATGAATTTTTTGGAAGTTCTAGACCTCGTACGGAAACGAAAATAGCACCATTCGACTCGCCGTGAAAAACTGCATCAGATAGGCACCTTTTTAGGCCTTAACAACCAACTTCAAAATTTGACCTCACTTGACCTGACCTTGACCTGACCTCGACCTGAAATTCATCCAGAGGTGGTCCATATCACTAACTGAGTGTGCCTATTGAATTCTATGAATAAAATGACCCATAAAACATGTGTCGCACATGCCCTTTTCTATATTTTGTTTTTGGTGACCTGACCTGACCTGACCTTGACCTTGACCTTTGAATGATATTGTATGCAACGAATATTGTCTTGGTAGCCTAAGAACACGTTTTGGGCAATCAGTCTCTGTCCATTCTTCGGCAATTACGGTGCAAGGCCGATACTGTAGAAACTTGCATGTTGTACCCTTGACCTGACCTTGACCTAATCTCTGACCTACTTAAGCAAAAAAATTTGAGCTCTTAAGATTCGCCTCGTTCAGAGCTTTCGATTGCCGTTTTCCCCGTCTTTCTACGACCATCGGTTCGGAAGTTAGACAGGGGGGGCAGAATCTGCCCCCCCCCCCCAGCAGGGCGCGTATGGCTGAATAGCCCAGCGGGGCGCGGGTTATCGTTGATTTTCGACAAAATGCGTTTTACTCGATGTTGTAGCGCATTCCTAGAAGACCCGTAAACGGTCAAACATTTTATTTTTGACCTGACCTGTGACTTCATCGGTGACCCTGAGATCAATGAAATCAGGTTTCGCTCGACAAATTTGACAGGGCTTTCAACGCCGTTTGAATTTTACGGATCCGTCCAGTCGTTTCGGGGATACGAGGGGGGCAACAAAATGCCCCCCCCCCCACCGCGCGGAAGGTGGCCGGGAGGCCCACCGCCTGCCGGGTTAACCTCTAACCAGGGATGCGGAGCCGTGGAAATTTCAGACGGCTCCTGCTCCGGGTGAAAATGTCATGGCGGCTCCGGCTCCGAGTAAAGTGGTCTGGCTTCGGTTCCGACTCAGTACATCCCCTATGCGCAGGGATGCGGAGCCGTGGAAATTTTAGACGGCTCCAGCTTCGGAGAAAAAAATCGGCTCCGGCTCCGGCTCCGGCTCCGGGCGTAATATCGGGTTCCGGACAAAAAGTCAAACGATAAAAGGTAAAAAGATGATTAGTCAACAGACATTACGTCAAAAGCAAGAAGTCAAAAATCTTAAAAGTCAACAGGTAAAAGTTCAACAAAGAGGAAAGTCAAAAGGCAAAAAGTCAAAAAGGATAAAACGTCAAAAGATAAAAAGTGGAATTGCCAAAAAGTCAATGAACAAAAAGTCAACTAGCATAGAAGTCAAAAGACAAAAAGTCTAATGGACATAAGGTCAAAAGACAAAAAGTAAAAACGGCAAAAAGTCAAATTGCCAAAAAGTAAAAAGGACAAAAGTCGAAAGACAAAAAGTGAACAGGACATAAAGTCAAAATCCAAAAAACCAAAAGGACAGAAAGTCAAAAGGACAAAAAGTCAAAAAACAACAAGTCAACCGGGCATGAAGTCAAAATAAAAAGTCAAAAGGTCAAAAAGTCAAAAAGACATATAGTCAAAGTCCAAAAAGTCAAAAGGACAAAAAATCAAAGGGACAAAAAGTCAAAAGGACAAAAAGTGAAGAGGGCAAAGGTCAAAAGACGAAAAGTCAACAGGACATAAAGTCAAATTACGAAAAATCCAAAGGAAGAAAAGCCAAAATCCAAAAACTCAAAAGGACAATTGTCAAAGAGACAAAGTCAATGACACCTGGATCATCAGTCATTAGGGACAGTCCACAACAGAAGTAATGTGTGGTTTCAGTCATGGGTATGTTCTGCTTCTGAAGCTTAGGAACGATTAGCCAGACTACAATGAAACTTTGAATGTAGCTTATATGTATCGTCACCCTTGCAGCTGCAACTTTAGCTATTGACATCTTCTTTTCGATCACTCCGCATTAAACAATCGCCAGTCAAAGCCAACCGTTGATATTGGTAAAACCCTACATTACTTTAGCGGTGGGCTGTACATACATGAGTTCACATTTACAAACAGCTGTACACAATTAAGCAGGATGCTGCACATTGCACAATATAACCTGAACTGCATCATTGGACATTGAAGCGAGACTGCCTCCATTGCGCGACTGATGGGGATTCCCATGGCCCGCAACCGCGACTCAGCTGGTCACACGGGCTGCCGGGCATGCTTGGCTGAAATCTGACACACATCCGTTGACACTTCCGTGCTAGGTGGGAGCTCGCTCGCATCGTAAGGTTGTCATGAGGCAGCGTTACATGATCCTTCGAGACAACTGGCTGTCCCAGGCGCAGTTTACTGGAATTATTTCAACAAATATAGTAACCCGGAATGTTATCGATACGAAAGGTTCGCTTTTTCAAATTTCCTATATTGTGTAGGGAGACGTTTCTCATCAATTGATTCCGTCACGGGTTCTATAAGCGATTTCACACTTTTATTATAGTTCAAGCGTATTGTATGGTACAATTGGTACAATAGTAAAGCGCGTCGTTTCTTTTAGATAGGTGGAAGTTGGAACGAGAGGCAATTGTGTGATTGTCGGATTGTCCTGCCTTGAAAGGGACGCTCATATCAGCATCAACAGACAACAACCTGTTAACCCTCGCACGACCAGGCCATTTCTCATAACACGAACGACCAGGGGGGGGGGGTTGTTACGACCCCCCCCTGGCGTTTCGAAACGGAAGGTCGTAGAGCTTAGCGGAAAAAAACCGACGGATTGCTCTCAACGAGATCTCGCGATTGGTGGTATATTTTTTGGTCCTAGGTCAACATTTGACCTACTTTTGACCGGTCAAAGGCCAAATTTTCGGAAAAATAGACTTTTTCAACTTTCGGCGGCGATTGCGGCAAAACGGTGGGAGATATCGACTTGAAACCTTCACTATCGTGTTCCTTGATCAATTCTCTATCGTTTGGTATGTATTTCGTTTCCCTAGCTCTAAAAATGGCGCGTTGGGAGCGCCGGAAGTCGGCAAGGTCACAGTCGGCGGCAGAAATTCGAAAAATCAAAATTTAAATTTTTGAAATCTGATTGTATTTTTGGATTTGGGAGGTCCATTTGCTCCCTATAGAAGCTAATATTGCTGCATATTCCCATTGAGGTGACAAGAATTAGCAAAATAGTGGTTCGGGCGCTTTTCAAAAATAGTACCGGACGCTGTTCCTCTTGTGACGTCATAGCTCCGTGACCTGACCTGACCCGGTCAAATTTTTTATACCATATGATAGCCAATACTTGCCCCAACATGCATGGGAAGTTTCATCACGATCCATCAACCGATGTCCGTACCACCGGCAGGAAACCTCGGGCGTTGGCACTCAGTTTGTGAAAATCCGGCCGGAGGCTGTACCTCTTATGACGTCATAACTCCGTGACCTGACATGACCCGATCAATTTGTTTTCGGCAAAAGATGCGCAAAGGTTGCCCCAGAGAGTATTGAAAATTTCAGCCCGCTAAGACAAGCCGTTTAGCGTGCACTTCGAAAAAACCTCAGGGGGGGGGGGTGATACAACCCCCCCCCTAGGCGTTCTAGGGTTAATATTCACGGACTGCATACAAGATGACCAATTTTCATCGAAAGGTACGGACTGCATACAATTAAGGTGACCAATTTTCATCGAAATATATGGGTCAATTAAGTTATCGAGATGCGATTGCTAAAAACACAATTTTTATGACCTCGGAGCTGTGACGTCCAAAGAGAGGTGACAAGTATAGCGCATTGTGGCTACCAGTTACTGTCCCTCTCCTTCATCTTCGCCTCCGCCCTACGTCTCCTTATCGGAACTGCCCCCCCCCCCCCGCCACCAGCAGGCACAGTACGCCAACTTTATATAGATAAGTTCACATTCCCAATACACTTTTTAAAGCAAAGTAAAAATAGGTAGGAGCGTTCTTATCGGTAGTGTCGGGGCACGCACGGGGACGCGCCGAGACGCGCTATGCGGTGCAGCCGGCGCCCAGCGGGCGGCGGCCGGGGATCAGGTGGCCCGGCGCGGGTCAGTCGCCGACCGGAGACGCGGGCTGCGGCGTACTTGTACCGACTTAGTTAACGACTGCTGCTAAAGACTACTTTTTGCTGTTGACTACATTTTGCGCATCAACTTTTCGCGCACCTATTAACTATTTGCTTGTTGACTTTTTGTGTGTTGACTTTTAGCGTGTTGACTTTTTGTGTGTTGACTTTTAGCGTGTTGACTTTTAAGCATGTTGACTTTTAGCGTGTTGACTTTTAGCTGTTGACCTTTCGCGTGTTGACTTTTAGCGTGTTGACTTTTAGGCGAGTTGACTTTTAGCGTCTTGACTTTTTGCGTGTTGACTTTTCGCGCGTTGACATTTTGCGTGTTGACTTTATGCGTGTTGACTTTTAGCGTGTTGACTTTTAGCGCGTTGACTTTTTGACATGTCGGCTTTTTGTCTCTTTGACATTATGTCTTTTGACTTCTTGCGTGTTGACTTTTAGCTTGTTGACTTCTGGCGTGTTGACTTTTTGGCAGGTTGACTTTTTGTTCATTTGACATTTTGTCCTTTGACTTCTTGCGATGTTGACTTTCTGTCTGTTGACCTAATGTCCTTTGACTTTTTATCCGTTTACTTTTAACGTTTTGACTTTTCATCCGGGAATCCGTAATATCATGGTGGCTCCGACTCCGGCTCCGCACCCCTGGTAATAACCATGTCATGACTGTGCACGTCAGTAGCGGCCGTTCAGCTACATGCAGACTCCCGGACAGACTTTTCCAGTACCGACCCAACCCCTGGCTAACCGAGGAGCACCACAACGCCTGGTATAGGCATTACATGCCTATTGTGCATCACCGCCTCGGCAGTCGCCAGAACACTCACCTCGCCTGGCGCGAAACATATCCCTGATGTCCAGCCTGCTCATTATCAGCTTCAGATGATCTTGAATCTTGATCCAGAAGATACACATAGGGCGCTGCGCGCGGAACACTGTGCGGACTGCGGGCAGCGCGAGCCAGTGACGTGCGGACCGACACCGTTCATGGGGCCCGTGTCATCCGCGGTACAGAGTATTATGTCACACTTGCTGTCAGCGTCAGTCTCCAGCGGTTCATCGACATCACAGTCACTGGCGGCAGGACAACGTCCGAGTGACGTCAGTGTGACGTCATACGAGGAAACTAATTTGACACTTCAAGAAATTCTGTAACTGGCCGTACACTGATTAGACGCACATGAAGCGCGTAGTCATTAAGCGCCCAGTGAACGCTCACACGTTCACCATAATTTCAACACCCCTGGGGCCATGGGTGTCGATTTGTATACCTTTGGGGGTGCTGCAGCACCCCCAATGCTCAAATGAGCACCCCCAATGGTTTTCCGGGCACCCCCAATGATTTTGTCCCTCAATAACTCCCACTAACTCTGCTTGAGGAAAATAATTGTTCTGCAGTCTTTCACTACAAAAAATAAAACAATTACGCAATTTACAAGGCATGAAATAAAGATGTAAAGAAAAGAAAAGTTAGTTTTAAGAAGAAGGGCGAAAAAAGACGTTAAATTGCAAAGACACTTGTGTGGGTCCGTCGTACACGGGTGTCGGACTCTTAGAGCTGCTGGTGCGTACCCTTTACAAGCCGGCAGGGGGCTCCAGAGACCGGCGACGGGCCCTCAGAGGCCGGCAAAGGGCCATCAGAGGCCGGTGGTACCTTCAGAAACCCTGCGGGGTCGTCTTTAGAGACCGGAACGGACTCAGACGCCGATGGGGCCCTCAGAGTCGCCGGTGTGGGGCCTTCAAATGTCACCGGTGGCAGGGTGGCCGTCACATGCGCACTAGTGGGGCCTTCAGAAGCTACGATGCTGGGCCCTCAGAGCCGCCGATATAGGGCCTTAAGAGGCACTAGTGTGGGGCCCTCAGATATGGCAATGTGGGGCCCTCGGACTGGAGGCGCCGGTGTGGGGGCTTCGCAGTCGCCGGTGACGGCCCTCACAGGCGCCGTTGTGGGGGCTCTCAGAGACACTGGTTTAGGGCCATCACAGGCGCGCGTGGGGCCCTCAGAACTGCTGTTACGGAACGGACCCTTCATAGGCCGACAAAAAGATATCAAGAGGTCACCGGTGCCTTCAGGAGCCTTGTGGGGTTCACTCGGAGACTGGCCTGGTGCGCTCAGACGCCGCTGGGACCCTCCGAGTCACCTGTGTGAGCCGTCAGGGTCGCTGGTAACTGACAATGGCCCTCAGAACCGCCCATGTAGGGTTTTTAAAGGCATTGGTGTAGGGCCTCAGAGTTAGGGGTGTGGGGCCCTCAGGGACGCCGGTGAGGGCCCTTACAGTCGCCGTTATATGGGCCCTCAGAGAAATGGGTGTGGGGCATAGGCGGGTGTGCAGCTCCTAGAGCTGGCTCCCTATAGGCCGGTTAAGACCCCCAGAGGCCGGCAAGTGGCCCTCAGAGGCTGGCTTGGGGCCCTTATGGAGATCTTAATGTTGGTACTTGTGGGCCCATGAGGTGTTCTTACGAGCCCTGTGGGGCCCTTCTGAGTCTAAATATAGCCAACGTGGACTCTCAGCGGCCAATTGGCGCCGCAGGGCCCCTCAGGCCCGAATAACCCGATGGGCCCCTGAACCTGATGGGGGGGGGGGGGGGGGAAATCCCGTGATTATCAGTACCTTATGGTGATACCCAACCATGCCTTGCACGGTTGTGCCCCATGGCAAAGCTGCAATCTTTCACCCGGTGCAGGGGTTGAGCACCCCCAACCATTTTGAAAAATCGACACCCCTGCCTGGGGCCGTATTCACGTCGATCATTTTCGTAAGAATTTTCGTAAGTTTGACCCACTTCTTAAGTACATTTTTTATTCACGTGAACTCCGTCGATAAAAAATTGTGTCGACATGAAAAAAGTGTCGACATGAATACCAAATTATACTTACGAAGGAATATCGACTTACGAAGTCGACGTGAATACGGCCCCTGCTGTCTCTGCGTGGCCACCCCCCGCTATCCCCCCAGTGTCGCCCCTGCTATCTGCCCAGTGTCGCCCCTGCTATCCCCCCAGTGTCGCCCCTGCTATCTGCCCAGTGTCGCCCCCGCTATCCCCCCCCCAGTGTCGCCCCTGCTATCCCCCCAGTGTCGCCCCTGCTATCTGCCCAGTGTCGCCCCCGCTATCCCCCCCCCAGTGTCGCCCCTGCTGTCACCCCAGTGTCGCCCCGCTGTCTCTCACCCTGACCTCTGCTGAAGGCCGGACGCCGCAGCCAGTCGTCGAACTTTACATGGCGGTTCGTCCCCCGCACCGGAGGGTGGCGCAGCACGAGGTGAGGGGCTGCTGGCCGCAGCGTCCGCCGACCGTGTCACAGAGTCACTGGGAAGGGGGGAGGCAGATGATGTCATCAGAGGTTACCAGAGGCTAGATGGCCACCTACTGGATTCTGTTTCACAGCAGCCGCTACTTGATGCTTTCCGATATTGACGCTCGGTTTCCATGTGGTCTCCGTGGAGGTATAATTACAATTATCCATGAAATCTGCTTAGGACTTTACATTTACCCAAATTTTGGAAGAATTTTTTCTTTCAGAAGAAAAAAGTGCATAAGCTTCAGCTGCAGCCTGCAACCATATGAGGAAGGGTAGAGAGGGCCACATAAAATTTAGTAGACTTACTCAATGAATGAAACGAAACTAATTACTTAAGAATACAAATGTATGTGTCAATATTTTGTCTAGAAATCATCACCTGTACTCCTTCTCTCACCCCTGTGAATGGTCAGATGGCGCCACTCGCCGGCGGACTTCCTGACGTAGCTCCTCCAGGGCAGCTTGGTGGGTAGTACGCTCTTCAACCAGCGCCTGCCGCAGGCGGACCACCTCACCATGCGGTGTGGCATTCTCTGCCTTCAGATTGGTCACCTCACCTCGTATTCCTGCAATCTCTTCATGCAGTCCGTCCATGCCTTTTTGAGAGACGGTTACCACCATCTGAATTCTGAAACACATCTCATCTCTGTGATGATGCAATATAGGACCAATATAAGACACATAATGGTGAGTGGGTGGTGGCGTGTCCGGACAAAATTTCGTCTGACATTTTTTCGTCGGACAGTTTTTCGTCCGCAGATTTTCGTCCGACTTTTTTTCGTCTCGCATTTTTTCGTCTGTACATTTTTTCGACCCCCACCAAACACGATTTGGCAGCACTGTAATGACGCCTGCTGGGCGTGAAGTTTTCCCTTCACCATAGGGTTTACACACAAACTGGTCAAAGTTTGAGCCAGGATATACTAGTCTAAAAATGCAAAAAACGAACAAATTTTGGCATCAATAGATTCAGCATTTCATCGTGTGCCTCAAACCGTCCATCATTTGGCCTCAAAGGAGGTAAAAATTGTTCAAAATCGAAATTGAAAAGATGCTTTCTGAGCACATAATCTGGTAGCAATCACGTGACCTCCTATAAGCAGCTTATCGATAATTTACAAACATAATTATTAATATGCTGCTTTAAACAACATTAATCATACATTTTGAGCTTTCAGTACTTTAAACCAGTATAACGCCTTTTGTGGCGACTAACGGAGCGAGCGAGAGGGTGGGCCTTGCACGTGCGAAATTGCGAGGGGGTACCTCCAACTGACTTGTGCACGGCACCTTACTAACCGGCCTCTAGCGATGTGCCAAATTTGAGCACAATCGGCCCAGCCGTTCTCGAGATCTGGAAGCGGCACCCTGCACGTGCGCACGTGCAAAATGGGTCCCAACTGACTTGTGCACGGCACCCTACTAACTGCTCCGTAACCGTGTACCAAATTTGAGCGCAATCGGTCCAGCCGTTCTCGAGATCTGGAAACGACCCCTGCACGTGCGCACGTGCAGCAGCACCCCAACTCTGGCACATGGATATGCATTGCCTAGTGGGTGCCTACCTACATGCCAACTCTCAGCGCAATCGGCCCAGTAGTTACCGAGATATTGCAACAATTACAAAAGTGACACCTCTTGGTTTTGCACGTGGCACGTGCATAAGGGGTCACCCACATGCATCGGGAATAGTGCAATACTTGGTAGAAGGAATGAAGCTACCCTACAAAAATTACCGCATGTAAATCGGTCAAGTGGTTGCTGAGATATAAGCCTCGCAAAAGCGTGACCACGGCCGGCCGGCCGCTCATACTCAGAAATTTCCGTTAATCTAAGGAAAGACTACGCTCGCTTCGCTCGCTCCGTAATAAGGTCAAAACATCGCAAAACACAAAAGTTAATACAATAGTCACGTGGGTGTCAGGAAATGTCACAGGTGCGTCAAATTTATGACTGGGGCTTTACTTTCAAACATCGGATCTACCTGTTTCTTATAGGTATCTTGCATTTTTTCGTCTGTGCATTTTTTCGTCTGTACATTTTTTCGTCTGTACATTTTTTCGTCTGTACATTTTTTCGTCCGGACATTTTTTCGTTCGTATATTTTTTCGTCTGTACATATTTTCGTCCGGACATTTTTTCGTTCAATAAATTTTACGTCTGTTCACCCAAGGTTGAGTGAAAACATACTACAATGCTATTCAACTGTGGAGGCAAATGACGTCATAATAATACTCGGGGCGAAGCAGTGCAGTGCCGAAGGCAATGCCTTAGGAGAGATTACAGGCAATGGTAAGTCAAATATTTTTAGGTTAAGTCATGAGTGGTTGTGTATCTGGCTTCAGGCCGAAGGCCTGAAGCCTGATGCATAACCACTTAACCTAAAAATATTTGACTTACCATTGCTTGCAATCTATTCATGCAAGTAACTTTTTCCTTATCCCCCGGTAGGCAAACATCAGTAGGTAAGGTTAGGTTAGGTTAGGTTAGGTTAGGTTAGGTTAGGTTAGGTTACGTTAGGTTAGGTTAGGTTAGGTTACGTTAAAATTGTAGACGAAAAAATGTCCGGACGAAAAAACGCACAGACGAAAACATATACGAACGAAAAAATGTCCGGACGAAAAAATGTACAGACGAAAAAATGTACAGACGAAAAAAATGCGAGACGAAAAAAAGTCGGACGAAAATCTGCGCA